ACTCCTACTTATTGAATATTATGTCATTTTCAGAAGGTCTAGTTACCTGTATTTAAAATGATTTAATTGCAATGAAGTAGTAAGTTAGGGACTACTTAAATAAAGATTTAAGTGCAATAAATTAGTAAGTTAGGGACTACTCAACAAAAAAGAGTTGAGTTAGGGAGTACCCAAAATTAGTAAGAAAGGTAAAATTGGCAATTTTCCTGCCAAGATAAGTAGCATCGCAGTCGAAAACCAAAGGCTCCTTGGTTAGGGACTAGGATCCCAAATTCCTTGGTTATCGCTGATGCACGATCCTTGGGTTTCGAGATGAGTCAGGGTCCATTTACGACGGACCCAATAAAGACCAGCCTCACTTTTTAAAATCCAGTGCGTAAATCGACTTGGAGTAAATCAATGTTGGTCAAAGTTTGTTGTCGTGGGACCCACAGGTCTTCTCTGGGGTTCTTATATGAATGGGCTGTGGGCAAACTGCTAAGTGGGCTCCATATTGGCCTTTTTGAAGGCACGGACCTTTCGGTTTGAAGGGACTTTTGGGTTCTTCACTGTTAGCCCCCCAAAATCTCGATTTTTTGATGTTAGGCCCTGAATATTTAAATGTGTTGAAATTAGTCTCCCTAATCTTTATATTTGAAACTGGTCCTCAAGTCTTCCTATTTTGAAATTATTCTTGTATTTTGATATTATTCCCACCAAATCTTTCAAGGGTTTTGAAATTAGGGGCTATTTGGTTCAAGCAAAATTTTGGCATTTGGTGCGGATTGTAAAATTTGGGATCAAAAAGCGTTTTTTTTATGTTGGAATTCCATATTTGTTGTTTGTTTAAATAATCTTTTTAGAACATTGAATCCCAAAAATACAAAAAAACACCTAATTTATAGAATTTGCCAAATTCTCTCAATTGGAAAGGATTTGGCAAATAACGTAAATGGGTATGTTTATCTTTCTTTTTATACATTTGTATTTTTATTTTCTCGTGGGAGGTAACTTCACCAGTGTAAGCATATTTAGTTCTTCTTTTTTAGAATTTGTTATCCAACACTTTGGGGTAAAACCAAACATTATATTACAAATTTTAGGATATGCTTTTCTAAAATAATGTTGAACCTGACAAAATATTAGAAATCCCAAAGTATGTATAAAACCCTATGGATTTGGAAACTCTCTATTACAAATCCTAAAATTTTGATATTTGAACCAAATAGCCCCTTAGCCTCCTAAATCTTTCAACTAGCCGCAAAACAACCAATTTTTAAAATATTTACAAGCTTTGGGGTACTAATATT